GCAATCTCCTCCAGTCCATTTCTTCCACAGACTCCCTTTGTTCTGGAAATTCAGGTCAGCTACATATTCTTCATCTTCCCTGACCCACTGTTGGTGGCTGAATCTCCTCTCCCCCCGGAACATCCTTACAAAATTCCTTTGAGACCCTTTCTTCCAACTACATAAAAGCCTATTTTCGTTGCCTTTGGTCACCTTCCCTCTCCCTTCTCTTCCTACTTTGCTCATTGTCCCACACCACCCAAGGCTCTGCGATCACCCCCATCTTGCCAGACTCTGTTGGCTCCCAAACCCCCAGGAGATCAACTATAAGATCCTCATCCTTACATTCAGTGCCTCCATGGCCTAGTCCCACCCTACCTCTAAGAATTCCTTTAGTGCTACTCCTCCTACTTTGACTTAATTTATATCCCGCACCCACTGTCCCACCATCGTCCATCTCACCATAGTTACTCAAACCTAACCTTCTCCAGTGGATAAAGCATGTACTTTAACTCCAATATGAGTAAACATGTGGTCCACACTTAATGCCAAAGGGATAGATCCCAATGAGAAGCCACCTTCCAGAGTTTGAATAACAAAGTGAAGATATTTGAGAATCAAGTTTCTTTTATAATAATAATCCTTGCATTTGATATAGCGCTTTTCACATCTTCTAGACTTATTAAAGCGCTTCACAGAATGGACTGTAAAGTGAATTGACTATATTTGAAGCTCAGTAGGATGGTCCCCCGACAGCTCTTTAATTGTGCAAAACTGCTTCACCAAGTATTTCTTTAAATTTAAATTCTGCTCCCCTGAAAATTGCTTTTGTAAAATAACACTGGAAATGTTAACATTGACGGTAATAGAAGTAACAAAGAAATAGACTGCTGCGAGCCTGAGTAACTGAAGCTCGCCCACTCCCCTTGCACAGTTAGCAAAGTGGTTGTAAAAAGTAATGTAAGAAATATTTAGACCTCACACCTCGCCTTTACACAGTCAAACAGCAGCTTGAGCATCAAACCTCCTGGCACCTTTCTTGCCGAAATCTTTCTTCCATCTGCTCTCATCTTCTGTTCTGTGCACCTCCTCATCTTGGGCAACTTTAACCCCTCGCTCTCTCATGTCTGCCTACTTTGTGCCCTCCTCTCCTCCTTCAAATTAGTTTTCTCAGGCTATTCCTTTACCTCTCTCACCTTCCGTACTGCCTCCCTGCTGCCAAGCCCTCTACCATTTTCTTCCATCCTTGGAAAAAATATACTTCATTATGCCCTCACAAATGCACTCCAGTTTTCCGAACTTCTCCCTCTCTGGCCTCTGCTTATCTTGACATCAACGCTTCTATTGAGCTGCTCAATAACACCCTTGAATCCATCCACATTCCCCCACATCCCCATTAAATCCTGATCTGCTTTCTATCGCCCAACCTCCCCAGTCCCTTGTTTCCCGCCTCCAAACCCAAATTCAAGGCAGTCATAGAGTCAAAAATCAACAAAACCCAGTCAGCTGCTTCTGCTTCCTCACCCGCTTCAAGTTGCAGGTAATTCACTTGCCCATATCATCTTTCCTGCTTGATGGATCTTTGCAGCCCCTGTTATCTCCTGCACTAGTCTCTGCAATCCCATTACCCCCATTCTAACCTGGCTCTCTCTTAGCCTTGCCGACTCCATCTTTGTACAGTGCTTTGAGGCGCTTTCTCTATTTAGAAGTATGTGCAAATTGTTACAGTTCAGTTGTTTTGGAAAAGATTTTACTCTGATAACTTCTAATACCTTAAGGAAGCTCCATGCAGGTACACCCTGATACCTATCCCAAAGGGTGAGACCGAGGGTTTCAGTTGCCGCATCTGGTTGCAGTTTTCAGTTAAAGCAGCAGTTTTTATATTGCGTCAGTGTGAAAGTAAGTGCACCCTGCCAGTATTTGAGAATGTCCTCTCTATTATTAAACTTTCCCAAATGTTGGCATAATTGTATTCCTTTCATTGTGATTAGTGCAAAGCTCCTGGAGACCCAGCTTGTCAGTGGGGAAGACTGGTCAACCAACTATGAAAGGATTGTTTGGGAACGATCCTCTCAGCCTCTTTCAGACCAGCAACAATCCTCAAACTCATTACCGAACAATCCTGCAGACCAGGTTCTTGGTTGTTACTATTCTCTCAGGAGGAAGTGAAGGGATGCAAGTCAATATTTATGCTGTTATTGTTTCTTTTCTGCTGATATAGCTTCAGATTAATTGTCTTGGCTGATATTTTTCCTACTAGAACTGAAGGGAACATAAGGAATTTGGAATGCAATACAGTATTAGGTTGTATTAGGCAGATCTCATGGCCCTAGAGAGTGATGATGGAGATAAGCCTATTGGAAGTTAGCCTAAGAGAAGGAAACATGTTTTTTTGACACACTTACAAGGGGTACTGTGCCAGAAACCATAGCTTTGGTGGCAATATAAGGTTCTAACATGAGGAGATTCACAAATAATGACCAACTGGTACCCAGAAGTGCGACCTATCCTGTGAGAATTCTACAGACACAAGATCATGCACAAGTGCTGTTGTCACTGCTGTGAAATCTGTCACGTAATGTCAATCAAGGAAATTCTCTGCACCAGACACTTTCTGTTATATAAGTGTGGCCATATTTAATTATAGATCATTGATTGTACACTAGAATGGATTTCTTGAGCAATGTCATTACACAGCTCTCATTCTCTCGTGATGCCTCGTTGGCCCTGCTTATTCCTACTCCCTTTCTCCAAAACTCCCATTAAAATCCAGTCGCCTTCCCCCAGGAAAGAAATTAACTACTTTGTACAAGCTCAAATAAAAACTATTCTTTCCTCCCTGTTATCAACAAAAAATACATTTCACATTGTTCTATAACACACACACACATACAGAACACTGTTAACCCCTTCCCTCCTCCCACCTTACCACCACACTGTTAACCAACTCCCCCGCAATTTCCCCATAGCCTTGCAAATTTTTTCTTTTCAAGTATATGTTCAATTCCCTTTTGAAAGTTATTATTGAATCTGCTTCCACCACCCTTTCAGGCAGTGCATTCTGGATTGTAGATAGCACACACAAGTACAAAAATGGGTTTAACACAGGCCCTTTGACAATAAGAGCCCGGATTCAAAATGTAGAATATTTGATTTTGTTTTTTAAAAAACTGCAATGCAATCACTAAAATTGAATGGCATTCAGAATTCTGGTCAAAGTTTGGCTTTAGGTTTGAGTTATTAAACCAACATGATCTGTGAAAATATTTCATACAGTAAAGTCCTGATAACTCATCCCTGGCTTAACTTGTCACTACTATTTAAATCATCATGCTGTCAATATCCTGGCCACATTTATTTATGTATTTATACAAATGCCTAACTCGCCACTCTGGATAACTCATCACTGAGCCCTTTTCCCTTGAAATGAAGCGTTCTCAGGAGTTTACTGTATTTTCTTTTGCTATTCCCATATATATGCTCTGTTTCACTCTTCTCCGTGGATTTAGATATGTGAAAATTGTTGTAACGTAATTAGAGGTTTCAATAGGTTAAAAAATGCCACTTCCACAAATGCCATCAAATTGCGGTTTCTACATCCGTATCCTCATCCACACCAAACTTGGCACCCCCATCACCCCAGACCTTGCCGGCCTCTATTGGCTTCCTGCTAGAATGGATTGATTTCAAGGTCCTCACACTCAAAAATCACATCATGCCCTAGCAGCTCCCTGTCTCTCCAGCTTGCTAACATGCCAATCCTCTGCCCGACTTGGCCTTATGCGCGTCTCCGACCTCTCTGCTCCACCATCAACACAATGCCTTCTGCCATTAACCCCCAAGTCTCTGGAATTCCCTGCTGCAACCCCTCTGCCTTCCCCCTGCACCCATCCCCCTCCCTTGCACATCTTCAGATGGCACCTGAAGACTTCCCTCTTTGACCCTCTCCTACAGTCACCCTCTCCTTTCTCCGTGGCTTGGCATCAAAATACACCATTGTTCAGCACTTTGAGACGTTACCCTACATGAAGGGTGTTATATAAATGCAAGTTGTTTTTGTGCATTTGTTAAATTGCCGTGCCGGATTATATTCCTTCCCCCCCAACCCAATTTTATTCACATTTTGAATTCTCACTCTGATTAGGTGTTGGGACCACTATCTTACCTATAGCTAACCCAAATGCACAACATGAATGTATAAATCCAGTTAGTGAACTTCAACAAGTTATTTAATTGTAAAGTATGTAAGAACAGGAACTGGCTTTTTTGCCCCATTGAGCCTGATCCATCATTTTATTAAATCACACCAGGGAAGAGCCTGCTTCTGTCTTTATCTGGAGGACCCAGATTTTTAAGCGGCACTCTATTGGATAATGTTCATGAGTAGAAAACCTGGTAGATATTTTCTTCTCCCCTTCCTGCTATGTCACTATTATTGCCCTGTCTTGAGATCAGCCAACTTGGCACACAATCGAGATCTGGATTAAAAACTGGGATCTTCCAATTCTGAATAGTTCAACACTTCAGTGAATGTGGCAGCTGAGCCATTGGAGTCGTGTAATTCTTATATTTTTTAATAAAGATTCTGCAGAAAACTTTGGACACTATCTTCTCCTTTGTAGATCACTATCGGAAATCTCCAATATGTGATCCTAAAGATTTTTTATATTTTAAAAATGAAAATCACAGTTTAAGAACATAATATTGGGTGAAGGAAACTAAGATGAGCAATATAGTATATTATACACACAGATATACTATATATGCTTGATTTATTTTCTCTCTTATCGTCCATGATGAGCATAAGTTTACTCGCTAGAAGCAGTTTATGTTGTAAGGTCCTTTTTTTCTGGTGTCCTGCCAGAAGGAAGGAAGCAACTATGAACACAATATTAATTATTGTACATTGAGAGATTCAACTATTAAAATGAAGGTTAAAGACTTCTATGTAAAGTTATCCAAAAATATTTCTGCTAGTCGTTCAGAAGAGGCTGAATAATTTCTCCTGTTTTCAAACGCAGGTGGTGCTTCCAACATTTATCCTGGAGAAGAGATCATTGCTGGAAATGTATGCAAATTTCATGGCCCATGCAGACATGTTTGTGTCAATCACATCAGGTACCACACCCGAAGACCGAATTATCCGCTTTATGGAATACTACCTGACTGCTTTCCACGAGGGACGAAAAGGAGCAGTTGCAAAGAAACCCTACAATCCAATAATTGGAGAGACGTTTCATTGCTCTTGGGATGTGCCTGAGGAAAAAGTGAAAGCCAACAAGGCTAGCAACACTTTAGCTATTGCCAAGGACAAACCCAAGCCCCAGGCCTTGGACTCCAGCAAGGACCAGACAGATTGCTATAGAGTGAGATTTGTAGCCGAGCAGGTTTCCCACCATCCACCTGTTTCAGGTTTTTACTGCGAATGCAAAGAGCGGAAAATTTCTGTGAATGCACATGTGTGGACCAAGAGCAAATTCATGGGAATGTCCATAGGGGTCACCATGGCAGGAGAAGGTATGAGCAATTCCCAATCCATTTATTGTTTATTATAATAATGATAATAATCCTTGCATTTGATATAGTGCATTATCACATCTTTGAGACGTCTCAAAGTGCTTCACAGAATCTGCTGTAAAGTGAATTGACGATATTTATAGACGAAACGCGGCAGCCAATTGCGCACAGCAATGTCCCACAAAGAGTCGTGGATTGAAGAGACCAATTTATGCCACAAAGGAACCCCGCTATTAAGCGATTGTTGGGATCCAAATATGTCAACCTGTGTTATAATGCAAAATAGCTGCCACTGATCAATACCTCCTGGTTTGTGGCAATGTAACTGGGTTGGACTGCTAACGTGTGCAGAAAACCTGACCGTTATCGTGATGAACAACCAAACCTCCTTGCGCTATTCTTGTGATAATGGTACATTCATTCATGCATTGATGTCACAAAATGTCAGGGTCCATCACCTGCCCACCCTATAGAAGTGGCAGTGCTATACTGAAGGCTGCTATAACAGGGTTCACCAGTATTTAAGTGCACTACAGTCAACTGTTTATTATTAGTATAATAGTAGTGTTATTAGAGATTAATATGAGGCTTTTAAAGCCAATTTTAGCCTCCGTTTGAACAGTTAATATCAAAATCCAAGGTAATGTTTGTTTGGGTTTAGTTCATTATTTAAATAGGTAAAAATCTTTATAAAATCCTTGCGTTTGATATAATGCCCTCTCACGTCATTGAGTCATCTCGAAGCACTTCACAGGATACACAGTACTGAAAAGTGATATGACTCTATTTTGTGGGCGAACTGAGCAGCAAATTTGCACACTGCAGTGAATAATTTGTGAAGGAGACATTTGTACCGATTCCTGACTTAAAAATAAATCTGAGTTGTGTAAGAACAGCAGTCCTGACACTTTAAGCAAAGAATACCTTCCGTGCAAGTTTAAAACATAATGCAAGCTGAATCAGTGGTAAAATTTTCCATAAATATTTGAAACAAATTGATTTTCTTATATGTAGATTATGCATCATTGCTTTATTTTGCTCAAACCTTGTTTCTAAAGCAGTGGATGTAACACAGTAACTTTCAAACAGTTAACAAATACTCAATGTTGGACAGAGATAATTCAGGAAGAACATTCTTCACATTGCTATAAAATCTGGCTTCTGCTTGCATTGAACCCCTTTTTTGCTTCACTCACATAAATTTGCCAAAGGTTCTGCCCACTCACTGTTGGTGTGAATTGTGTTCTCTGTTGGAAAACCGCTTCTGTGTCTGCAACTGAAAAGCAGAATATGATTTTAATAACAAATTAACGGTGAGCTAATGAGGGAAATGAATTTGTGTTAACTCTTTTATCAGTTTATTGCCATCCCAGCAATTGTGGCTCATATACACATTGTACAAAACACGTTAAACATTCATGCATATATAAATTTATAATTTGTGCAGATTATAATCTATATAACAATGAGATAACTTCCAATACTACTTCAAGGTCGTTGGTTAACTAAAGTCTAACCCATCAAAAGTAGGAAACCATAAACAACGTAATGGTCAGTAATGCTAAGTTTCGTTCCCTCACTCCTCTCCATAGCATTTCTTAAAAAGTACCTCTTCCACCACACTTTTGTCTCTGACCGCGCTTTTGGTCATCTTTCCCCTGCTCAGCCCGTTCACCTCTCACACTCAGTTTTGGTGCCCAGCTGGCATTGTCAAGCTCTTTGAGACGTTCTTGTGATGTGAAAGAGCTATATAAATTGTGTTGTATATTTTGTGTAGAATAAACGTCTACTATATCCAGTGAGATCATAAAGATGGGAACATAGGATAGAAAATGCACAGAATAGAAAAAGAACAATTGGATCTCAGTCACAAGTTTATTTCTTTTTAAACTCTTACACGACTTTTCAGCAGTTGAATTTGTAAATAGCTATCTAATTCCCTATTGAATTTGCCACAATTTGCCTACACAGTATGCTTTCATTGAATAATCTAGTCCACGGATTCACCACTCTTGTCTAAAATAATTAAGTCTGAGGAGTCTCGCATCTGAGGTTTGAGATAATATTCATAAAAACACTTCAACTTCTCGATCTCTCCAACGTTAATTTAACTTGTATTATTTCTTTAAACTTGTATGGAAGGTTTTCGTTGCTTAAAATGCCAAGACTGCTGTCATTACATAAGGATTATTCTTTATTATTATAAAAGTTTACTATCCTCCTGGGGTGTGGGGGTGTTGGGGGTGGGGGTCGGATTCAAGTGGAGGGGGGTTGGTTGCTGAACCTGCTCCAGGGTCATGTGTCTGCCAATTGAATAGTTTTTGACTAGTTATTTTATTTCCCAAACATTGTTGGCTTTTTAAAAGAGAAAATAAATTTAAATTATTACAGGTTGTGCCTTCTAGGCATTTGTGTCTGGGGGGAAATGCATGATATGACAAAGTGATGTGCATCGGTCTCCACTGATGATCAAGGCTGATTCTTAAGCATGTTAATTAGATCATCCGTATGTTCATTTTCTCTCCATATATCTTTTGATATTCACATTATTTTTGCGTAAATAGTGTGGATTTTAAATTCAAGCTAGAACACTGTAGCATTATTCTCAGAATGCAGCTCAAATTACATCTGATTGATGAGCAGACAAGCTAAGCTGCGTTGAAACAAATTCTAAATAATGAAACAGTTACGATGGGTTAAACTAATGTCTACTTGTTTACCATTTAGTAATAATCGTCATCATCGGAAGAAACTCCCTTCTATTTTCCAATAGTGTGATGAGATTTTTAACGCAGGGTGCAGGTATACTTCCACTGTGAAACTCCAGTATGTAGTGAGTCAATGCCGACATCACGAGGGGACTAGGAGTTACGGTGAAGCAGGTAAAGCTGCTGCTCACTAAAATGACTTGGCCCGGAACGAGCAGCCCTACACTACTTGCGGCAGTCCTTCCTAACAAACGTACAGCCCCAACCTGGGCAGAGACGGTTAGCTGGCAAGGCCAGAGAGAGTCAGTCTATCAGTGAATCCATTGACTCACAAACACGCACATTTAGTTGGATGAATTTTGGACCTGTTTCCCCTGCTTCCGTGGGGATGAAGGCCTACACTAAAAGTCTACCTGATCTGGCAGATGAGATCTTGGTTTAACACCTCACCTGAAGTACGGCACCTCCAGCAATGCTGCAATCCCCAAGCAATATCTGGGAATGTCAGCTTAGATTGTGAGTTCCAAGAGCCGATGTGAAGCTTGACCCTACAACCTGCTGTCAGAGGCTACCAACTGAACCAGGCTGACACGCAAGTTAGTCTTATTTAAGTCAAGATTCCCTTTTATGTAACTATCAGTGGAGGAGGAGGTGGGTATGGACTCTCTTTTATATGGATCGCCAAATATAATTATCACCAGCAATTCCCCCCGGAATGCTGGAGATGATTGGGAGGTTTTGCACTCCATTCAGCATCTGCTGAGGCTGTTCAGCGGCTGGTGGAATCTGGAAATTGTCTGCAGGTTTGTTAAAACAAGGCCTCTGTTGATCTTATCCCATCAGAAGTACAGTAGTGACACAGGTTTGAGTGGGGAAATTCTCATACTATAGAACTACAAATATTCGCCCACAAACATAGTCAATTCACTTTACAGTATATTTTGTGAAGCGCTTTGAGACGCCTAGAAAACGTGAAAAGCACTATATCAAATCCAAGGATTATTATTGTTATAACTATTACCCCCAGCTCGAGTCCAAGTCCCTGACTGTCCAGCGCCTTGGGATGTCCTCCTGACGTGAAAGGCGCTATACAAATGTAATTTGTTCTTGTTGTTATTACACAGTTGTACTTGGGGTTTAGAATGGGCAACACAGCTAAGTTCTGAAGTGGGTTTAGATATCCTAAAGCAAGTTGATGCCTTTCTTTGTGTGTTTTAAAATCCAAATTTACCATTTTTTTTTCAGTGTCCATGATATTTATGTGCAGCTGGGACTTTAGCTGGCAGGGTTAACAGGAGCTGAGTGGAAGTTCAGCTTCAAGGAGACCCGGCTTACCTCTCCCCCACAAGGAGGCTAACCAGAAACCTGCTTAGCTGCCAGTCCCACAAATATGCTCAAAAGCCAGTTCTAGTATTGTGTTGTAATTGCATATTCGCAGGACTGGCAATGAAGCCAAGTGGGTTTGCTGATAGAAGAGTCAACAGCAACAAATTTGTATTCATATAGCGCCTTTCATGTTGGAAGGACTTCCAAAGCTGCTTGGTAATCTTGGCTTGGCACTCGAGCTGGGGGTAGGAGCCAAGAGGGGAAGCCAAGCAGGAGGGGATGTTGACCAAAAGTGCGGTCAAAGATGTTAAGAGGATGTAATAAGAATAATACTTCTTGTATTTAGTATAGTACCTTTCACGTAGGGAAGCGCTTCACAGGATATATTGTAAAGTGTGTGTTGTGGGTGAACATGTTTCAAATGCAATCCTGTTTTTCACAAATTTACCTATGCTTTTTGGCGTAAAGGTTTTCCCCCTATTTTCTCCTGTTTTATGGTAGAAATAATAAACCCTGGAAAACAAAACATACTCAGGCATTTTGTGAATTTAAAAACTGAAATTAATGGTCCTTGATAATAGTGTATAAGACATCTAGTGTGTACAACCTCATTAATCTTGAAGGTACTTAGTGTTGTTAAATATTGTTAATGTCAAAATATAGTTATGACAGCACCGCAATTATTTACCAGAGCTGTTCACCCTGAAGAGAACAATCTGTTCAATTATTTCCCTTTTGTGAAGCCCTTAATGATGTTAATTGGAAATGCGCTGAAGAAATGTTAATGTTTACTGTATAATAATCCTTACATTTGGTATAGCTCCTTATCACATTGGAAGGGCATCTCGAAATGCTTCACAGGAATTACAGTGAAATGGAGTGACTGCTTCACTGTAGGCAAACGGGGTGGCACAAATGTGCAGAGTAATGTCCCACAAACAGCCATGAAACGAATGACCAGTTTTATTTGGGGGTTTGTTAGCCAGGACACCCACCAGGAGAAACTCCCTTCTCTTTTTGAATACAGTAATGACCCCATCCCCAACCCCAGACTGGGCCTGAAACAGTTTTTTTTTTACAATACCTCAGGCCTGCCCGCGTATAGACTCCCGCTAACTGCCCACTTCTCCTAGCCTGTGCTCCTGCCTCACTGTTCTTGCTGGCCAGGGATATCAACTTTGACTCAGATTCAAGATATCTTATTTGATACCTTCTGATCGCAGGATTCAAACAATTATAATGCAATTATCCACCCCACCACACCCCCAATTGGTCCGGCCAGCTGGGGTTTTAGCGTATTTCCATGGGATCTTTAGAATCCACCTGAACAGGCAGAAGGGACCTCGGTTTAACATCTCATCTAAAGGGCGGCACCTCCAACAGTGCAATACCCCCATCCCCAGCACTGCATTGGAGTGTCACCTTAGACTACGTGAGTTCAAGCCCGACAATGAATTTGAGCCCACAGCCTTCTGACTCCGAGGTGAAAGTGCTACCACTGAGCCAGGATGACACACATGATTCTGTGATAGAGATCTTGAAGCATAATGTATATATATATATTGCTGGCACACAATTGAACAAAAAAAAGTTAATATTTCTTGGGTTTGCTTTTTTTTACACAAAAGAAAGATGTGTACAGAAAGGTGTGTGTAAAAAAAAACAAGTACAGTGTAAATATACTGGATAATTTGTCCTTTTCATTTCTTGGGGTAACGAGAGAAGTACTAGTAGAGTTATGTATCGTATTGGTCAGACTACTCAGGTTGCAAACGAAAGGACCCGGGTTCGATTCCCTGGGAGGGCAAAACCTTAGGCAAGTTTCCTTACTCCACATGCTTCTGCTTATCTACCAGTAAGTAGGAACCCAATTGTTTGTCGATTGGCAGATTGCTTTCTGGGGGAAATAATCCCTTCAAAAATAATAATAATAATTTGGGCACTCAATCCACGACTGTTTGCTGTCCACAATTGGCTGCCGCCTTTCACCCACAAAAATATACAGTCAATTCACTTCACAGTATATTCTGTGAAACGCTTTGAGAGATCGCAACGATGTGATAAGATGCTATATCAAATGCAAGGATAACTATTATTACTATTTCTGTTTCACGTGACTCGATGATACGTTTTGCACCAAACCTTGTCACTACCCACTTTCATTAATCTTTTCTTGGTTTATCCAGGTGTCCTTTTCCTTGGTGAACACGAAGAAGAATATGTTTTCACACTGCCTTGTGCTTATGCACGATCCATTTTAACAGTGCCCTGGGTTGAACTGGGGGGTAAAGTCAGTATTAACTGCGTCAAGACTGGCTATTCTGCTACTGTCACATTCCACACCAAACCATTCTATGGAGGGAAGGTACACAGGTAATAAAAAAAATGTTTACTCTCCACTGAAGCAAATGCATTTTGTTTGGGTTGGAAAAACGATCCTTGTTGTAAATAATGCTAACCTTTGCATATTTGAGGTGCTTATTGAATTGTAGTTGCCAATTTTTATGGGAATATAATTTACTAATCCAGCACTTCACGTAATTTTCAGGTTTAGTGTAAATAATGATGCTGTTTTGCATGCTTTTTTGGATCATAATAATACTTACATTTGACATAGCACCTTTTGCATCAGGAGTAATAATAATAATAATCCTTGCATTTGATATAGCGCTTTTCACATCTTCTAGACGTCTCAAAGCGCTTCACAGAATATGCTGTAAAGTGAATTGACTGTATATTTGTGGGCGAACGCGGCAGCCAATTGCACACAGCAATGTCCCACAAACAGTCGTGGATTGAAAATGACCAATTTATTATTGTTTTGTTTTTTGGAGGGATTATTATTAGGCTCTGTGTGGAGTAAGGAAACTTGCCCAAGGTTTCGCCCTCTGCCTGTAATTGAACCCAGGTCTCTAAATTGCAAAGCGAGCGCTCTAACCACTGAGCTACAGGACCCCAGCACTGCATTTGATGTGTCAGTCTAGAGACCTAGACTATATGAATTCAAAGTTCTATTATGGGGCTTGATTCCACAAGCTTTTGACTTGGATGCTGGAGTGCTACCCACTGAGACAAGCTGATACATTGCCAGGCACTCTCATTCTCCTGGCGAAAGAGCAGTGTCTCGCAGCAAACATGTTTTCCAATGAGATGCTTGTACAATTGAACCTTAATGCTATAAAGATCAGAAACTCACAAAGACGTGCCAGATTCAGAGATCAAAAATAATAATCCTTGAATTTGATAGAGCGCCTTATCACATCTTCTAGATGTCTCAAAGCGTTTCACAGAATATACTGTGAAGTGAATTGACTCTTAGTTTTGTGGGTGAAATGCAGCAGCCAATTGTGCACAGCAGTGTCCCACAAACAGTCGTGGATTAAGTGACCAAATTTTTTTTTAAAAAAAGGAATTATTAACCTTGGAAAAGCGATCGGCCAATCTGCTCACAACCAGGTTCCTACTCACTGCTAGGTAAACAGAGGCATGTGGAGTAAGGAAACTTGCCCTATGTTTCGCCCTGCTGGGAATCAAACCCAGGTCCTTTCGCTTGCGAGGCAAATGCTCTAACCACTGAGCTACAGGACTCCACCACTAATGAAGTAGTTCAAATTGTACATACTTTGTGGTAACTAGAGAATCAACACTGAGGTCTCTGAATTAATGTTTACTTTTATTAAAAAAAAACTAATCCTGTGTTTCAGATAGGGAGTTCAATAAGTCTTCATCATCCTATACAGTTGAGGTATAAAGGTGAAGCCAGGTACTTACACCAAAGAGACGTGCTGCTCTTTGCTCTGAAATCATCTGGTGGCTAATAGATCTGCTCTCCTTCCAGCTTAGACTTAGAAAGATCAAAAAAGGGGCATTTTTTTTGTTTACAGCAAGGGGAGGGGAAACTGAAGAAAACAACAACAACAAAATTACATTTATAGAGTGCCTTTCATGTCGGGAGGAAAATGTTGACTAATTCAAAATATGATTCATGAAAAAGATTCCGTTAGAGTAACTCGAGTCAGTGGAAGTAAAGCAGGGCTACCATTTATACATCTAAGGAAATTGGAGTTTGCTTGGTGTTTGCTTTATCCGTTTGCTGCCGATGACCATAAAAGTAGGTGTGATTTTCAACGAGCATCTTGTGATTCACGATAGGATTGTGATAGTGAAAGGAGAAATGGCACCGGGGAATAAAATGGTATTGCATTGTACGTATTAATGCTATTTCCCATTGAGTTTGTTCTGGGATAGGATTCAAGGACAGTCTCAACTTCTTCCTCTTTGTCCGCTCTTTCAGTCATCTTTCCTCTCCACAACCCCTCGGCTCCCACTCCCAGCTCATGTGGTAAACCAGTATTTTTAAGAGCCTTGTGACTTCCTCCTGATATGATAGATGTTATGCAAATGTAAGATTGTATTATTTTGTGCCAGTTTCTAACATTACATTGACATATCTGTTCAACACTTATTTTTTGCTGAACTTAGCTTAAATAGTTAAGGACCTGTTCTTAGTTAGACATCCCTGTTTACTTTCTAACATTGAGTCCTGGGCACTGGCAGCAACAGGGAACCACTTGCCTATGCATGAACCCACACCTGAGCAGTTTGTTATAACTTGTAACCTGTTTTCTAGCAGACCTTGCCTGGGCTTTGGAGGAAGTCTGGTCAAGCAGGATAGCAAAGCACAGCCAACATGGTGTGCAGTAACACCATCTTGTTCATATTGCAACCATTAGAGGTAGTGCCGTAAACTAAAGTGTCCATTATAGATCTTGGAAAAGGATTCCGCTTATATTTAGATTGATTCAAATTTAGGTTGGGGTAAAATGGAAAAAGAGAGCTGGGAGTTTCGGTACGTAGTGGTGGAACTATGTTTGAAAGCTTCCTTTAACGGAAAATTTATTTTTAAGGACATACCCAACTCTAGCAGAAAAAGGGCAAACCATTCACTCAGACCCCTGTATTTAAACAAAGCCTGATTAATAGCCTGATTTCCAGGTTGTTCGGTTGCAGCTGCCTTTACTTCTTGTGCAGGATACTGTACATGCAGAAAGCACGGCTGACGTCACCCACAACCTCCGCTGGGCTGGCTCCGGCCTTCTGCATGTCCCTCGTGAGCTCCGTTCCACCACTACGTACCGAAACTCTGGAACGCTCTTCCTCTATCCCTCCCCCTTGTCCCTTCCTTCCCTGTCTTCAGGTTGCGCCTGAAGACCTTCCTATTCGACCGTGCCTACAGTCACCTCCCCTCACCACGCAGCTTCCGCCACTGTCAAGGGTTCTGTGTTGCTAACCTGCTAAAGGGTGCTATATAAATGCAAGTTGTTGTTGTCACATCTTTCATGAAGTGATATCAGTAACTTGCGCATAGAAGTGCCACCACAGACACTCGCTGTGTCACTGATGTCACTTGTACGTGCAGCTTTGGAGGAAGAGACCTTGGTGGCAGTCTGATGACTGGATGTCGGCTATTTTTTATTGGGGGAAGCCAGACAGTCTGTGCAGGAAGTGCCAGGACGTGAGTTGAAAGTTAAATAAACTGCTGGCGTCTATCTACATTATGTATGCTCTACAGCAATCTTTGTCGTGATCTGAATGATGTCCTCTTTCAATCTGTTTCCACCAGTGAAAAATTTTGGTTACTACTCGGTACTTCTTAACTTGTCCTTCTTAACTTGTCCTTAACTTGCAGAGTTACAGCCGAAGTGAAGCATAACCCCACAAATACTATTGTATGTAAGGCGCAGGGTGAGTGGAATGGAACCCTTGAATTCACATATAGTAATGGGGAAACCAAAGTGATTGAGACTACCAAACTGCCAATAATAAGAAAGAAAATACGGCCCGTTGAAAAACAAGGGCCATTGGAGTCTAGGTGAGTGCTGGCACTCGTTCTATTTTGATAAACACATCAGTGTTGCTGAGCTCCATCAGGCGTTTCAGGTAACAATAATTTGTACTTATGTAATACCTTTCGAGTAGGGAGAACGTCTCAAAGCGTTTTACACAGATGGAGTGGGAGTCTGAGCTAAGAGTGAGGTGGAGGTAAGGGGAAGAGTCTGAATGCACAATCAAAGAAGTTATTAACTTGTTCGTCGGGGAGTTCCAGAGGGTTGGGATAAAGTAGCTGTAAGGTGATGATTTGGAGAAGGCGGGGGTGTGAAGCAAATCAGTGTTGGCAGAATAGAGGAAGTGGCCAGGAGAGAAGATTGCAGATGGAGGGTGGAGCAATGCAATGGAGGCATTTACCTGTTGGCAAACCTTCTCAGTATTCTACCCCTATTTACACACATCTCGATCTTTCACTAAAATTCGCAACTATGAGAATATCATGTTCTTAAGCTATTCCAAACTTCCCTCCAGATCAAACTATCTGGATTTGTCCTATTTTCATTGATGCTCTTGAAATACTGCTTCTTAATTCTTAATTCTGACCCAAGGATTACATTATACAATCAACATTATGCAATCGACATGTAGTGTTTTCTATGCATGTATAGGTATGACATCAGCTATGACATTCACTAATATTGCACTCGTAGCACCTCTCTTCCCATAACACAGTATTTTTCTAGTTTTTCATAGATCTTGACTTGTTGCCCTTATAAATGTTTTGGAACGACAATAATGTTGTGCCTCTGGGCTATTCCACAGAAGACTGATTTGAAGTGAAACTTAAAATGGAGTGAAATATGTTTTTGGGTGGCGGAAGGCAAACTTAACATTTGTTTTTTATTTGATCTGAAATACTGGTCACTGAATTCCTGATCAGAATAATTATTTTCCTCTCCAGACGCTTATGGCAGCATGTGACAAATGCACTGAAAGCTGGCAATATCGATGCAGCAACTGAGAACAAGCACCTTCTTGAGGAGCGACAGAGGGCAGAGGAGAGGCAGCGAGCAGCTTCAAGTACTGTTTGGAAAGCAAAGTATTTTCTAAAAGAGGTAAAAGAAAAAAGTCCCTTTAACTTAATATTTCTGATAGTATATTCTGCATAAGCCACACTTACAGTACGAGCAAATGCAACAAATCAAATCCAGAATTTGGGTGGGGAAAGTGCAGTGTTTTCCAAACATTGTTCATGGATGTGGTGCAGTGGACTTTATGAGGATTCCTAAGATCCTCCCTTCTGGGTTCCAGAATCGATTCGTTACAATTTAAAGTTTATCCTTTAACAAAAATGTTGTTTTTGTTGTATTTTTTTAGTCATTAAAATCTACTTACTCTCTGCAAGGGACCAATTACTTTTCTATGAACTTCTCCATCAATGCTACAATATCTTTAAAGAAATGATCATCATTTTTTCCCAGTAACCATTATTAATGAATACTGTCAACATCTCCTTTCCCGGCACAGAGGTTCTGTTTTGCTAACGTGGGTTGTGTTCATGAAATCTTTCCTCTAACTCAACTGTAAAGCTAACATTGGACACAGAATAGGAAAGGTTGGGGTATTTCATACTTTGTCACAGAAAATATCATAAAGCCTTTTTGTGGGAAACTGAAACTTTTTACTGCATGTGATTCTGCGGCCTTAAAAAAATGGTAAAATAAATTTTCAATTGCGATGTCATTTATTTGATCTTCACTTGTGAGAATGTTTTATTGAATGCTGTAAAGTCTCTATTGTTGTTCCTACTGCACCCAGTTGTGTTGCTGATATAATTTCTTTTCAATTTCTGTAATAGGGAGATGGTTGGATATACTATAATCCTCTCTGGAAGATACAGTGATGGCAAGCTGAGTTTACCTTTTGCCACCTACCTCAGATTTCATCCGTTTTACAAGTGTCATCTGCAAATAATTCTGAGGTGATGTTGAAACAACAAATACTGAATCTGGAAAGTGACTTCTCTTGTATAAAATAAACAAGAGGTTGTACAGAATAAGAAACTATATTGTTAAAGGGACATAAAATAGTTGCGGGTTCACAAAAAGAAATTTGATTGCAAAGTTTATTCAGGAATCTGTCTGCCTGTATATATGTGAACCCTGCATTGAAATGTTAATGATGGATGAAAAAAATGTTATTTTAATGTTTTAAGATTTTATATTTTTCACTGGTGAGGACTCTTTTTGCACCTAGATAAAGAAATGTGGCCGCTGGCAAATGTCAGTGTGGTCTTCTATACATTGTAGGATTTGTGTGCATGGCACACAAGGCATTGTCAGGCATTGTAAGGCATTGTCAAAGTGTTTTAACGAAGGGTGGTGGGCAACACATTTTGCAAAACAGTTGAGCTAAAAATATTTCCTGCAATGGCAACACTACAGACAATTTTCTTGCCCCCCACCCCTTTACAGAATGTGTGGACCATTTACTGAAGTGACCTTCTTCATTTGCACACTTAATGTTGTTAGATGTCGTTTGTTTCATGAACTATTTTAAATAATAGTGGTTTCAAAACTCTACTGTGTATCTTCTGAGAAACAAATACATTTATACCAAGTGTTCATAACGATATTACATGAAAACAGTACACATTAGCTAAGTGAAAAGGTTTTGTGTAACCGATGTGTATAATCAGCATCACATAGATTCACTAAGATATGAACAATAGAAAACAAACTTTATAAAATTTTGGCATTGATTTATTTCCTCAAATCTTTATCATTAAATTCTTTCAACCTGAGAAAAACACTACTATACATAACTGGACTGTTTAACTTTGTATTTTAACATTTTAAAAGCTCCTCCATTGTTGTGCTGTATAAAGGCATTGTTCAGTGTAGTACTAGACCATGAAGATTAGTCGCTGATCTCAGTCTGGGTAGTAGTTAGAACACTACAAATTCACCTCAAACCCTGGGCTAAGGAGGTGGAATATCAGGCAGGTTTCTCATTCTTGATCGCTATCCAAATAGTGCTGCTATAAAATATGATTGTTGGGTAAAGGACAGGATTAGGTTAACTGTGATGAATAGCCTGCCAACAATAACTGGCAAGGCTCACCCTGAGATATTGAGAGGAGAGGAGGAGGGAAAAGGAGAATTAAAGGGGATGTTTTTGATTTTTTGAAAAAATGAAAAAAAAATTATCTGAAATTAAAACAGTCAAATGTTAACATGGCTTATTTGGCTTTTGTGGATTAAGTATTGTTTATAGTTTGGTATTCATAAACACTTTTAACAGATGACACCTGTACAATGAAAGATTCTTCTTTCTGTTTCCAAAAGTAGGCATTCTACCCACTTGGGTTCTGCGCACTCCTCACCTCACCAGTATATGCACAGATTGAACTCCACGTGCTCCCACCCACGCAACAAGCACAGTAATGATTTTAGTGGTAACCAGTGCCAACCTATTGCCTGATCACTGTATGCACTTTGAGTAGAACATGTATTCTTCTGTGTACTTTGTCTTTTTGCCAACATTAATGTTTGATTCACAACATGCACTGTGAATATTAACAGTGGAATCACGCGAAAATATCCAAGCCATAACCAAGATAAGGTGTAGAGCAGATGTTCTTATTCTAAGGCAGGTTTCCTTTAAGTTTGGGGTTAAAAGTGTACACTTTGGATTGAATTGGATCACCATTTGAAATATTTCCCCATGGCAGCGCCTGGAAAATGTAATTGTGCTTATGTATTGTTTCCAATGATTCAATTCAGTTTTCAAACTTGGAGAAAACCACAGAAGTAGAAATTGCCTTCAGTTGATTTTTTCATAGAGAGTATTGCAGTAGTCGAGAAGTCATGTTGAAAATCGCAGAATAATATGAGAAAATAATTACTTAAATCTAAGTGTATCATCATTCCAATCCCTCAAAGTGCTACAGTGGAGATTAGAGGCAGATGGAATGGAAGAGGCAGCATGAGTAATATTCTAAATCTGATTTTTCTCAAAGCTAAAATAATTATAGTCTCTTTTGAAAAACAATTATAGAGGTGACCTTTCGTAATGCTAAATGGAATTGCTTTCTACTGAACTTGTAGGAGGAAGGGAAGGTTGGTTTCTATGCCACAGTGATTGTCAAGAGTGAAAAGCCACAGCAATGTTGTATTAAATTGTTTGGATTTCAGCCAAGGTAACAAATATGGGAGTACAACAATTGGGTTCAGGGTCCCAAGGTCAGTGAGGGCAAATTCTGCCGCTGTTTGTTGTGTAAAGTTCCCATGTTTAGATGTCTGGTGTGGAGAGTAGAATCAGGCTTAGCAGTGATTCCCTTATCGACATAGCTTTTCTGCACAAATGGCCATTTGAGCAATACTGAGCACCTATTATTATCTATGGAACCAAACTCCAATGTGAGCCACCATTTTCAGGTTTGTGGTGGTGTGGGTGGGAGGGTGGTGGGTGGGAGAGGAACATCTTAAGCACATTTGGGTTGAGATATGGTAGAACTATGTTTGAATATTCTGTTCACTTATCAACACATTGGGCTACAGATTATAAGCAGTGGCATCTTGAAGTTTAGGATTGGTTATTGTGTTATGGACAGCTGGCTGTTTTCACAATAATTTCAACTGGAATTGTACGGGCTAAAGGATTTCCGACACAGACTACAACGTATTTTTTAGTAAGTGAAACTTGCAATAATGACTTCACAAGACTTCCAGAACAGCAATGTCAGAGCGATCCAGCATTGACATTCAAACTAATCAAACCACCCCAAAACTTGCAGTCTGCATTTCTCTCATTGTAACAAAGCTGGTACCCTTGGGAGCTAGTTGAGGCTGCACTTGGTGTTAAACTGTTTGAGTTGCCCTTGTGCAGTTTACTGTTATCTGAACCCCTAGATTGCTTGTCATTAATCTCAGGAATCGATTGTTTTATTTGTAAAACCTCTAGATTGGAAAATATTTCTTAGTCATTGAAATGCAACAAATACTTCACAGTTATTGCTCCAAAGCAATCATCATTCTCTAAAGATACTATCCCGATTTCTTGATTGCATTCATGCATTATAATCGTTTCCACATATCTATTATTCTTTACAAAATCATCTAAATTCTTAGATTAGATATCACCTATATTCGTTCCTTGTATCCATTAGTTTGCATGTGACATGCATTACAGTCTAGAAATATTGATACTATTCAACTGAAGAAACCAGGTAACCAGACGTAGTTCCCATACAAACCTTGTAGGTGGTGTCTTACGTAACTAAATGCTCCACGGTGAACTGGCACGTTGAGATGTTTGATGCACTCACATTTGTTTGATGGAAAACCAATGCTCTATATCTCGCTGTGCATATTATGCTTTTGTACAAAATAATTTTAATTACATTTAAATAAAAGTCCTTCAGTCTTTGAAGGGTTAATTTGAAATCATTTGGATTGGCCCATTTTTACAAGTAAGAATGTTAACTGCCTACAAATACACAGTCACTGCACCTTACAATAAATCCTGTGAAGCGATTTGGGATGTTTTAACGAAGTGGTAAGGCACCAAATCAAATTCAAGTGTCATTAACTGCAACACATCTAATGTAATTCATACTCTTTAATGATGTCTGAAAAGATTTATTGCCACCATATTCCTCTCCTGTGCCTGAAAGTGCTGAAGGGATAAAATATCCTTTCCACGGATGAAGTCTGTATTCCTGTTACAGTGATCTGCCTTCAGAGCATAAAAAGAAAATGTTCATTTACATCAAAGGCTTCAAAGCTGCACCATGAACAAATCTAGATCACACAGATGGTACCTGCAGTTAATACATGTGCAATTTGCATCTTAAACTTATAAACTTCAATGAAACACTAGCAACATCCATTAATAATGTTGTTCAGGACTGTCTTAATATCCCAAAGTAATTCAGAGTGTATGCAAATATGAGCAGCAAAATCAAACTTGATTTCAGAAATCGCTTAACTAGGTTTCAAGGGAATTAAAAGCTTTTAATTGAATAACAACAATAACTTGCACATGGGTAGTGTCTTGAAGTACTAATTAATAGGGCAGTTTTGTTGCCATTGACCTAAGGATTTGTGACCATAGGAACCTAGGAATAAAGTCTTAAGTTCCAAACAGCCTTGGCTTTCCTTTCCCAGATGGTGAATCTTCCTGTCTCAGTCGGGTGTGGGAGGGAGAAAGGAGGGAAATTTATTCTTGTATCACTGAAGTGAGTAACCAAAGGAGCGACAGTGGCAGTATCTGTGGGTTGGGCTGTTCTTTGCTCCCAACATAAGACGATGGTATGATTTGGGGACAATGATGTGGCAAGAATTATATAAATCTTTATTCTAAATGCTGATCCAATTACTGGCATTATAAATAATTAATATTTAATGGCCACTTTTTGAGTGGTTATCACGTAAGTGATGATGAAATTGAGCAAATGCGATGAACTTTTTCAGCAAACATACATTATTTTGTAACTCCCATCTATTTGATAGTGAAATAGTAAGCTTAGAAAAACAATGTAATTTTAGCTCTTTATGAATATGAACCTATTATTAGATCGTACAGAGCTGCTTAACCTCTGAAATGTTAGGACTCCAAGGTTCATTGTTTTGAGTTATTGCCAATCCTCATACCGCAATACATTGAGTTCACCCTGCTCCCATGTAGGAGTCCCAAGTCCCAGGAAAGAACTGGATAGCTAGACATTTTTAACCTCATTCATCCCCAGCAGAATTGCCATTTGATGATCTATAGAGTGGCAATGAAGTCGACAGTTGCAGAGGACTCCATGCTTTTCTTGTGCGTAATCCTAACATTGGGTCAGTTGTTTCGGTGCAAGAGGCCTTAAAATAATCTATGATCTCGCTAATGCTAAATAATTTTGTGAGCAGTATCTGGGTGAATATGTGCAGAACAGATTGAGCTTAGTGAATGGTGACCTGTATGAACCATTTTTAGTATCTAGGAATGAATAATGAGTCTAAATAATGTGATGGATCGTCAGTATAATTTTAACTCACTTTCTAGACTGCCAAAATATACTCCCTTCTTATAGCCCATATCCACACTGTACAGCTACAGTAATGTCACCCTAGAGCAAAGAGATCTGTGCCAAACTGTGTTTGTAGCTGCGATAGGAAAGTTAGTTCTATACTGCACCAAATTGGATAAATGTGCAGGGCACATTGTTATTTTTTGTCAGTACCAAATGGTCAAATTGGTGGTTATTTGCTGCATGACATTGATGTAAAATGAATGATATCGAACAGAAACAAAATGTGCAATAATTAATTAGGAAAGTGGTAAATGAGATCATTTACTGACATGCTATTGTAGGATTTTGCTACTGTTATGAAATTTATGGGAAGCTTCAGAACTGCTAATTCTGCTTCATTTGTAGCTTTTTGATAAATTTGCAAAGCTGAGAGAATTTGCCCTTGGGAATGGTATTCCATTTGGCCGGAATGCAAATACAAATTCTGAGTCTGACCCTCTCTTCCCACTCCGGAATCCTGCTTTGAACCCTGAAAGCTGAATGCATCTCCTTGTTAACATTCAAACCATCAGGACTATTGTAAAGGTTTGGCAATGTACATTCAGGGTGGGAGCAATCGTAAGATAATGAACCTACTTCTCAGTCTGCTGACAAAGGTTAGCAAAGGCAAAGGCTTAATGATGGAGATCTTGTGCACTGATGTTTGCAAAGAGATTGCTTCAGTGACCTATTCTAAAAAATAAGTGAAACGGGAATCTGGAGCCTATTTGGTCCACTTCAATTCCAGACAATCACACGCCAGTTGAGAATGAAACTAAATATTCACACTTGTGAGTTATCATCTCAATTGAAAACCGGAGCAAGTATTTAGTCATTTATTTTTAAATTAATTTTGAAAAGCAATGCTCAGAACAAAATAAATTTGTTTTGAGTTAACTGTTGAAATTGTATACGCTGACGAGTGTTGCGAGAATGCTTTTGTCATCACTTTGTGTAAGTAAATTTCAGACACAGATTCTTCTATTAGCTTTAAAAAAAAACGTTCAGTGAAAGATGTTTCTGTGCTTGCACAGCCATAGAGTGAAGAATTTTAATAGATGTTTAAGCCTTTGGTTTGGAAGCTTTGTCTAGTCATTTTATTCTGGACATCTCGGGGACATCTTTCCACTAAGTGTAGAGATTTTGATATTAAACACTAATACGCAGAGATTTCTAATGAGATTCCTGAA